AATTCACACGCATGCCGGTCACGTCGCACTCGGCTGCGAAACTTCTCATAGATCGCTGTAGGTCAGTTTCAGAAGGTGCCAACAAAACAACGTTGTCTGCATGAAGCAACTTGGGTTCTCGTCTCCACATGTACATTGATACACATATCGCCCTGGCTACTCTATCCAAATATAACACAAAGAGGAGGGAGGACAGAATGCAACCTTTGTGGAGACCAGTGCCAGCGCTGAAATGATTCGACATAACGCCTTTGACTTTCCGCCCGTAGCAACTGGCCATTGAATCCATATGTTTGTACGTATGGCCATAGGTTGTTGCACTGGATTCGATTATTGGTTTTTTCTAGGTCCAATGAGTACATATCAACCGGATAAGCGAACTCTCGCGATTTCTCAGCAAGCTGACATTGGGCGAATATATGGTCAGAGGTGCATCGACCGGGCCGGAATCTACACAGCTCTTCTTTTATCTTGGAGTCAGTTATTCAGGGGCACCTTCTCTCGATCAGCTTTGCGTAGACTTTTCCTCAGAGGCTCAACAACGTAATGCCCTGAAAATTGGAGCACTCCCTGTGGTTCTCCATTCTTTAATACAACTCCCGTTATTCAAACCGCTGGTGTCTACCCTGTAGCCATTTCAGTGTTACAGACACGTGTAAGCCAACACATGCCTTGTTTGCCCAATGCCTTGAACATTTCAGGGCGGATTTCATCAATTCCAGCAGCCTTTCCATTTTTCAAGCGTTTTACAGCTTGTGCGATCTCCTCTGCAGAAAGACTAATATCCGTTTTCTGATGCTCTTCACGCGAGCCGTCCTGCGGTTGCTTGAAGTTAAGCAGTTCCTCAAAGTACTCCCTTCATCGCTGAAGAATATCTTCTCAGGAAAATGGCGTCCAGAAGTATCTTTCTGAACTCTGAGTCTTTTCTTTGTTTCATTTTGAAGGAGGCGTTTGGTTTGCCAGAGTGCCTTGTTTGCTGTCAAAAAATTTTACTCTACCACCTCACGAATTTTGCCGGGAATCAACTTCCGCTTTCGCCATTGATAAAACTTATTATCTGTTTATCTCCTTCCGTCGAAAACCATTTAAATAACAGTTTTTTAAATAGTGATTAATTTGGTAGCTTAGATTACTATCAAATCACGAGCACTGTTTATCCCACGGGTGAACTACGTGATTGTTGCCCGTAACTTTAAATTCCAAAGGAATCTTTATGCTTTTCAAACTTTTCTGTGAGCGCATTCATTGACTGAGATTACTTCTTTTTCAAGAAGTTTGGCGTATTCCACTCCCAGTTTCGATACGAGGTATATCTTATAAGGGGACGTTTGTTACTCTTGATCAAATTGATATTAGCACCGGACAGTTTCTTACAGTTCGCGTAAAAATGCTAATATATTGCTTCTATCGTTCTCAGCGATGAAAATAGATGGATCAAACAAGATATAATCTTTGTTAAAGAAGATAAGAAGTTCGCTTCTGAGTTTAGCCATGAAAGTGTATTATATATTACGTTTTAAGTTATATATTATATTGATGTTTTATTTAATAGTATATATTACACAATTATAACGTAGCTGTTGTTTCCATGATAAGTTTCAATCATTAGATCGCTAAAGCCTATGGAGGATTAGGTCTTGTTCTCAATATCAAATTTTTGGC